TGAGTTGGAGAATAAAACAGGACAAATAGGTAAACGCATACTATCTTAATACATTAACACGAAATTTTTATATATTAACAAACTTATTACCCGTCCGTAATTTAGTTTGTTCGATCTCTTCCATCAATGTCATATCTTGAGGCATAACTAAAAAGAATTATGTAATAACATAGATGTAATTAAGTATATTCATGTTAATTTTACGTTACTTGTGATTATGAAATGATTATGAAAGATCATTTGAAAACACATATTATTATTATTATTATTATTATTATTATTATTATTATTATTATTATTATTAAGTTTGAAAATAGAAAGAAACACTTATTTGACTTGATGATAAAAATGATGTAAAAGTTAACACCTTCCGATTTTTGACGACTAACATGTCATCATGAAGTTGATGCTCTAAGTGTTCAAGCTCATTATAGGTCAATCCTTATATCTCCTTTCTCATCATCAACCTTCAAATATTGCAATTAAATAATTTTATTCAGAATATCGATAGGTTAAACTTCTCACTTTCGTTTCTGTCTACTTTGGATTTTGTTTTCTTATTTGGACATCATATTATGATTTAACACGTTTTATGTAATAAAGTAGTTAAAGTACATAACTATTAGAGTTTACGGTTCCTCCACTCCTTTAATTTTCTGTATCACATTCTGAACTGTTCTTATCACTTGTTTTCCCTGCAACACCAAGGACCAAAAACGTTAGCAACGTAAGCACAAAGACCCTATAAAAAAAACAACACAAAAAGAGTAATTTAGCCTTTTAATTGAGGTCTATAATCCCTCAACCCGATGAAATCCTATAAACCAGAGCATCTTTGTCACCCTGTAATTCCTCATCAACCACCATTCCAACTAAACAACCTAAAATGTTCTCCCCATCAACTCCCAATACATGCAACAAACTAATCAACAGAACATGTTCTCCTTTTTCCACGTCATCATTACGCAACCTGTCGCAACCGTCGGCCACCTTGGCGGCGCACATGTGAAGTTGTAAGAGACCACTTGTTTAAAAACTTCAACCATCACGGTTTGACCTGGTTGTGCAGCCCGAACGATTAAACCAGCTCCAACCGAGATCGCACTTTCACTCCATGGGATGCAACCACAATGTAGTTCATAAATTAAAAAAAAAAGATATACTTTATGAAGACAGGCTCGTATGTAGTAATATATACATCTGTCCCAACTCCTTTGACTCTCAAATTCACCACTATATATATATATATATATATATATATATATATATATATATATATATATATATATATATATATATATATATATATATATATATATATATATATATATATAGACAATATTTAAAAAACAATTTAATGGTGGATTGGATTATGAAATTATAAAAGATATCATCACTAAATTTTGTGCTTCTCTTCATTATCTTGCTTTAGAGATGACCTACAACAATAAAGGAATAAGAATTTATCAAAGGAATTACAATATGTTTGGTTCGTGTGTGTGTGTGTGTATATATATATATATATATATTATTTTTTGTAAATACACAAAATTGAAGTTTCATATATTTTACCAAAATAACTAGTTTGACTTGTTATATCAGCTTTTAAAGTATATAGTAAGGGTATTTTGGTCTTTCAATGAAAAGGCAGGATGGAATTGAATTCTTTCTATCCTCCCATGGAAATAATGAAATCCAAACACCAAAACTGAATAATTTTATATTTGTTATTAGTTATGAATATATGGGCTTATTAAGAGAAAAATAAAAAATAAAGATTTATTTTTTTATACCATTTGGGCAATAGCAGTTGTTATGACAGTTGACAAGTTTCTAAATTGGAGTTCAAGAGCCTCAAACACTGCTGGCTGCTCAGTCACTTGGATCAGATAAATAAAAACAAAAGATTTATTTTTCTTTTTAACATAAATAATAGGTATTTAAGATATTTGATCAATACTGGGGGATGGAAATTACAATATTTCCCTCAGTGCCTTGTTCTCTAGCAAGGTCATGTAAAAACCAAGTACCACTTCCATCACGCTTTCATCACGTGAAGGATCCACAAACACCTCCTGAACAAATAAATATCCAATAACAAATAAAAAATAATAATTAGATGCACAATTTATCTATCAATTTGGGATTAAACTGAAGTAGGATACAATTGTGTAATTGTAATAGCATGGAAGAAAAAAATAAAGCTGATGATCAAGAAGTTCATGACTATTGCTCACATCCTACAATTGAAATTTGAACTTTCTTATAGAGTGAAGAATGTATATTAAACAAACATAGACCTGAAAGGTAAATTACAAAACTAACCTCCAACCTAAGTGAGAAAGTAGTCGAAACTGCTCCACCAAACAATGATCTTTTTGGGAATTGTTCCATTGTTATGAGAAGCTGCAAAAAAATGACAAATTTGAGGCATAGAGCTCAAGTTTTGACTATTAATTTAAGATATTAGAATAGCCAAACAGGTTTAATGAAACTACATTGAAAAGGAATCATCATGTGTTGATTAATATTTTTTGAAACGTCACTGTAGTCATCCTCATCACTACTAGAAAACAGCCCTTTAATGACACACAAACAATGACACACAGTGATTTACGATACGCAAAAGTGTGTGCCCTAAAAATAATGTCATCTCTTCTAAAATTTGAAGGATAGAGGACAAGCATTTATGCGTGCCCTGAAATTAGTGTCATACAAGAAAAAAAAGAAATATGGAGGGCACCTATCATAAAAAGTGTGTCGTATAAAGGTGTCGCTTTATATTTTTTAAGAAGGAGTGTTCTCCGTATTTTTTTGGGAAATGAAATCCCAAATAAAATTAAACATCTCGCCTGCTACTCCTTCTTCTGCTTCTAAAATCCTTTGCTAAGAACCCTAAATTATTCATAACCATTTTCCATTCCCAAAAAAAGTTAAACATCCTGCCTACTACGACTCCCCAAATCACTCTAAATCATAAATCCCTAAATATTAAGAACCCTAATTTGTTCTTGACAAACGGTGCCTTAGATCAAAAACTGTGAATTCAACTTCGAATTAGTTTAGGTTCTCTCAATAAAGAACCTCCCCATTCTATAACTCAGAAAAAGCATCAATGCACGCATATTGCACCTATATCGGAGTCAGCCGTTCGTTATCTCATATGGTCATTATCACAACCTCAGGCTTTATAAATTCCTTCCGCAAGATATTTCTCGTAAATACTATCAATCCTAACCTTTCTCTCTATTCATGAGCCAATAATCCCCACAAAGAAAATCAACAACAAAGACCATCTGGTTTGATTTCTCCCTAAAACTGATACAACTTCTCCTAAATCTAACTTCACTCCACTCTTTGAGTTTGTTTTCTCGCTAATCGATGCATCCACCTTCTCGTCTCTACCCCTCCATTGGGTTTTCTCTAATCTCTCTCCTCCATAGATGAAGATTGTCGGAGATGTGAAGAGAGTAACCGAAGGAAACCCTAAAACTACTCTGATTGCACAAACACTTCTTCTCCTGCGACTTTAGGTAAGTCTCTCCTTGATATGTATAATTTCTTCTTTCATGTTTTCGCATCTTTAATATTTTAAACCTCTTTCTTGTTCTTCTTTCAGTATTAGTCTACCGTCTTCATCTTCGTGGAAACCCTAACGCCCTCAATCCGACTGGCAGTATCATCTCAGTCGACTCCCCAAGATCTACAAATGGTGCGTTTCTGTTTTATCTTTCCCTCTGAAACCCTATTTTAATCCTGGCAAAGGAAGAACTAAGCTAGGTATTGTTTCAATTTTTATTAACAAAATACTAATATTATTAACAAAAAGGACTTCGAATTCCACTTCCACTCATGGAGAAAGGGAATGGAAATCATGAAGAGGCAAGTAGCCCAGGTTGGGGTGCTTCATTTTTGGTGCAGACAGCTGAAGATGCTTCTGGAACTGCTGTTACTCCTCTTTCTCCTTCACCAATACATTCAGTGGTATTCTCATCAATAAGGATACAAGTCCTCTTCAAAAGCTTCGGAATCAAGTTTTCAGAGCACTTAAAGGTTTATCTCCTCCTTTTTAAGATAAAAGCACAACTTACAATCCAAAAGTATTAAGTAGCCAAAAACGTCAACATGCAAGCTTTTAGTTGGATGCCCTAGTATGTAAATATGTAATATCTTTATTTTTTTTTCTTTTTCTCTACTCCTATCTTTCATTCCTGAAACTTGAATTCTTGATGATGTTTTATCATTTCCAAAGCTTTTATCATCAAAGAATATTGAAAGAACCTTCTAGGCTATTAGAGAGCCTAATAGTGGTTTGATTGCATCCAAATTATGACATTTAGGCACTTTAGATGCAATATTTTGGTAGAAGATCTGAAGGTCCAGGAAGGCTTCAGTTTCATGTAGAACCAAATCTTGAGCCTCAGGTACTGGTCAAAACTCAAAACTTTGACTTTCTTCCATTGTTATGAAATATGATATGATGATTTCTTATGATTTTGCATTACTTTCAGGTTCTTTTTGTCTACCCTCCAGATAAAAAGGTTCCATTAAGGTCTAAAGATCTCCTTTCATTCTGCTTTCATGGTGGATTGGAGGTTATACACTTCATAATTATATAATCAAAACCATTTACTTTATTATGATTTCTGTAGTTTTTAACCTTGTTTGTTACTTTTATAATTTCTATAGTTTTTAACCTTGTTTGTTACTTTTCTTATATGATACTGACCAACTATTTATATCCAACTAGATCTTCAACTACTCAATTGATGCAAGTAACAAGTAACACATGTCAGACGTAGGTATGGTAACTGTGAGGATATAATATATAAGCTATTATAAATTTGAAAAAAAGTATGCTAAGTGTGAGGATATAATATATAAGCTATTATATAAGTTTTAACAAATTGGTAGTGTACTATCATTAGCTGGTTTATCTAATTATCTTGCTATTTTTTATAAACACGGGTGGGCTGTGAGCACTAGATTCCCAAAGGCATACGGATTTTAGTGTGTATATAATATAAGTTATAAAAAAAACCATGTAATGTTACTAGAAACATACACGGATACCAAGCAATGACATGAACTGAGAAACGAACTGAGGGTAAGCTAGACAGGCTGCTTCGGTTACAAGATTTCCATCCGTAAAGCAATGATCAATTGGGTCTGGTTCTAACCATGTTCCACCACCCAACACCACATTCAGTTTCACAGCCGGACATGCAGTACATTTCTTCCCCTTTTAAAGCCAACAGCAAAAAGTCAAAACAACTCATCATTGGTTGGTTACTCAAAGTAAAAAACCTATTATTTATAGTAAAAGGCAAAGTTGTTTCTTTTGTATAGATGAGAGATTGAAATTTATATAAAAATATTTCCATTACATTGAGAACACCAGTAGCCGATAGAATCTGTTGACCGTGGCAGATGGAAGTTATGGGCTTTCCAGCATCCATTAAATGTTTGACCAACTTAATAACATCTTGGTCTAGTGCCAAGTATTCTGGAGCTAGGCCTCCATGGATGACAAGATCATCATAACTTGAAGCATCTGTGTCTTTGAAATTTGTTGTTAGTTTGAAATCATGCCCCATTTTTTCACTGTATGTTTGGTCCCCCTCAAAATCATGGACAGCTGTAGAACACGTGTCACCTGCTGATTTGTTACGACAAATGGCATCTACGTGGCATTCAAGAGCTTGTAAGGACTGAAATGGAACAAATACTTCATAGTCTTCCATGTAATCCTGTATAACAAAAAAATAGTCAAAATTACTAATCATGAGACTAAAATGACCTCTTACCCTTCTATCTTCTGAATCTGAATAAAGTTTCTATGAACAAAGGTTGTTTCTTTTTACTGATGAGAGTAAATGACTGCTTTACCCTTCTCTCTGTTTGAAAAAAAATGTTGTATTAATAAAGACTTTATTTTTAGCCTTGTGTCTGTCTGAAACAAGTGTCGTATGAACCAAGGTTTTTTCTTCTTTTTACCGATGAGAACAAATGAGCATTTTACCCTCATATCTGATCAAGAAAAGTGTTGTGTGAACATAGACTGTTTCTCTTTATGAACGAAAGAGAGTAAATGATTGATTTAACTTTCTGTCTTAAAAGAAATGTTGTATAAACAAAGGCTGTATCGTATCTGTCAAAACAAAAACCCATATATAGATTAAAGGATTAAATCCTATACTCATTAAGTAAAAATGAAACAACACCTAAATCTTAAACCTAGACTTTGGGATTCGCCCATGTCCCTCCCACAAATTGAAAAGAATATAAAATATTGTAGCATTGCCAAATCAATTATTAAACAACTAAGTGAACCCAATGTCAACAGGTCAAAATTAATCTACCTTGATGTTAAAAATCATAATCAATAACCAATTATTTCTTTTATTTTCATTTTTTAGGGCTTACCTGTTGGATTAGATGTCTAAGCCCATAACTATTATTGGTATTGCAATTCACTGGAACAATTTATATGGATAGTCTTTTGAGAATAGTATGTTTATGATTTATATTAATATATTATAAGTTCTAATATATTAATATGGAATCATATTATTTAATTAGTATTGATCAAGAATTAATTTAGTGATCAAATTGGAACTAACTAAATATGGACTCTTATATATAGGATGGGCCAAGTTCATTTAGGTTGGGCTAAGCTTGCATGGATAGTCCATGGAGTTTTTAACCCATGGATCCTATGGAAATGAAAGGTCATGGGTATTAGGGTTTACATGAATGTAACCCTAATCCTCCATACTATATAAAGACATCTTTGGCACATGAATTGAGACTAGTGTGTGAGTAAACAAGAGTGAGCCAATTTATAGTGTGCTTACTATTCTCTCAAGTTTTCCCAAGGTGTTTTTGGTGATTTATGATTCCACTTGAGGCTTCCACACTATTGGGGCTATGCTCTTAAAGTTTAAGAATTCAAGCTACATCAAAAGGTATATTATCTAACTACGCTTTTGTAGTATAGTTGCTTCATATTATGCTAGTTAGGATGAAACCTTGGAATATTAAATATTTGCATGTATAATAGAGAAAACATAGATCCAAGGTTTATAGGGTTGCATGTACACCATAGGAGTGTTAGAATGCTCAAAACCCATAAGTGGTATCAGAGTTAGGTTTGTTTTCAATTATACTTGATGCTATTTGCAAGAAAAATCATTTTTTGGAATTTGCTAGTTCACCATGAGGTGGTGACTGTTCAGTGAAAAAAATTAGTTTTTTTTTTTTTTTTTTTTTTTTTTTTTTTTTTTGGCCTGTTTTGGATTAGAATCATTACCACAAAGTGTTTTTCTTCATAAAACTTGATTTTAATGTTATGTTAATGTTTATTCTCATCCAAATAAATGATAATTGTCAAAGTTTCAAGACTTGTTTTAGTTTATGTGATTAGCTAAGTTCTTGAAAATTATTGATATGAATTATCTTCACTTATGAGTTTGATCTTGTTGATAAAAAAATCACATGATTATTGTGTTAATGGGTAATTTGATCTTATTGTTTTTTATGAACGCCATAAATTGTCCTCAAGTTATGGAAAATGAAGAGTTTTTTCTTTTAAAGTGTCATTAAAAGTCATAGGTTATGAAAATGGAAGAGTATCTAATTTTAATGTCATCATAAAATGTTTTTTATGTCTTCCATAACTTGTCCTCAAGTTATGGAACTTGAAAAGTTTTTCATAAAAACCCATATTAAACTCATAAGTTATGGAAACCAAAAGTTTTTGAATTGTTCAAAACTTGCACTCAAGTTTTGGAATTTCTAAAGTCTCACTCACAGTTTAATTCAAACCCCCTAAAATTTTAAAGTTAAAATTCAACCCTTATACTTTATAGCATTATAAGTTAATAATATATATATATATATATATATATATATATATATATATGTATGTATGTATGTATGTATGTATAAGATCAAGTTGTTTTACCGTTAGTAGGTCTCATTCACAAAGCCGGTCTATAGGGGGGTATAAGGTTGTCGCCTATAAAATGGCAACTTAATGGGTGTCCACTCTCACCCACCGCTTCCTTGACTGGTGGAGGGTCGTTAACCAAACGGGTAAGACAGTGACTTTAATTCTCATTAAAAGTATAATGATTATTATAAAGTAACCAAATGTTTTATAAATTCCCAATATTAGTTACTTAAGGAAAATGTGAATTTGGTGCTAACCCATGAAATTAAACTTTGCACCTTGCTTAAGTTGTTAGTGGAGCGCGTGTGGTTAACCGACACGCTAACTGGGATTTAACAAGGTTGTGAAAGGGTGGCTTAAGGTTTATCATAGATCAGTGGAGCGATTAGGTGATAAAATCTAGAGTACCAAGTATATTTGCAAGGTTATTCACTCCTTGTTTATGATCCTTGATATCCCAGTCACAAACTTGAGAGGGCACAGTCGAGATTTAAACATGCCATTGAAAAGTTCAATGAATATTAAAAGATCTAGGAGTTTCAAACCAATTAAAACCTAATTCCTATTTCATTTTCCATGATGGAAATTGGTGAATCGTCATTCACCTACCTTCAAATATTTTATAGCTTGGATTATGGCATCCCTCTTCCAAGTTATAAAATATTGTGTTGGGTCCTAGCCTTAATATTTCATATTGGGTGTTCTATTAAGGACTTAAATCAACTAACTTGAATTTATTCTATTGTAGATGTATGGTTCAGACCACTATGATCTTCCCAAATCTCTTGGCACAAGCTTCCCTAATGAAGATGATGTCCCGTGATTGGATCATGGAAATCATTCTTCTCTTCCTCCACCTCCTCCATTTATTGTCCCTAACCCACAAGCTCGAAGACTTGAATGTTCAAGATCACTCAATCCCTACTTGCAATGAAACATAAAGACGGAAGACATGTGTGTACTCATATCTTAGAGATGAAGTCACACATTGACAGATTGAGAATGATGGGTGTCGTTGTTCCATGTAAGTTGGATATTGATTGGCTTCTTAAGTCACTTCTTGAGTCGTATGGTGAGTTCATTAAGGACTACTACGTGGTAGATCACAACATGACCCTTATTGATCTTAGCTATTTGCTTGTTGCTGCTGAATCAGAAATATTTTGGCGCATTGGTAAAGTAAATTTGGGTGGAAGGTCTATTTCTCAAAATTCAATGGATATTGAAAATGGTAACGTTAGAAGTCTAGAAAAGTTTTTTCTTCCCAATGGAAAGGGATCGACCTTGGTCAACCCGGTTGACCAAAAGGTTAAGTGAAAGGCTAAGTCTGTGATAGTCTTGTGTACCATTCCCAAAGAGTCTGTATGTTTAATTGTCGAGAGAAGGGGAATTGGTTATGAAGCTGCCCTAGCTACCTAAAAGATCTGAGAGAATGAAGAATCAAAAAGTTTGACTCTGCTTCAGGTAAAGTCCACTATCTAACTCAATTAAGTTCCTAATTTTTGATTCTTAATACAAGATGTGACTAGGTTGCATTTTGATGTTTGGCAGGATCAAGCAAAATAAAGGAAACTTAAAGGATGATTATGCTGAATCTGATCGCGAAGATGGATTTCAATCGCATGGTTCGAAGATCGGATTTTTGAGATGCTGCTTAGGAGTTATGATAGATCACTAGGAAATATGTAATAGCATAGTTTTCGTTTAAAGTTGCATTGTAAGGAAAAATTTTCCGCATTTTATAAATAAATAATTTTTTTTAATTTATTTTATATCTCCTTGCAATGGCACATATGAAAAATTTATGTTTGGATGTTTCTAGCAATATTAGAAATATGAATTTGATTCTTTCATTTATGGAAGTGTCTAAATTTACCAAATAAGGAAAGATTCTCATCAACCAATTTTCAATTGGACCAAAACGTGGAATCATGCATGTTATATTGTATGATGAATGAGAATTTTCATCTTTGGAAAATTAAGACTAATTCCTTGTTCACATGTATATGTGAGTCATGTGAAGGACTAAGGGATCGAGTACATTTTTTAGTGCACTGGTCAAAGTCCACCACAAAAGATCGTTAAGATTATTCGTCATGATTTACTAAAGTTCAGTAAATCTGGTTATACTTACAAGCTGAATTATAATTGTGAAACATTGGAAAAGTTTCAATGTATGACAGAACGAATGAGAAGAATCAAATTAGGTAGAAAGATACAAGTTTCTCAAATCTAAAAAGACGGGAGAGTACTTTAGTATCATGTTTTATGATCTTCTTAATGATTATGAGACATATCACAATTTATCCTCTAAGGACATCTTAATGCAAACTTATGGCTAAGAAGAGGAGTCATGAATTGTTAAAGTGGTTAAATCAAGAAGACGAGTCATACTTCATCAAGAACCTTGAACTGTGGTTTTATATTTATTTATTTATTTATATATTTTGGGTGTATTTACATTTTACAATGGATTGGAGGTGTCTAAAAAGCTGAAAACTCTTACATGCTTCTTGTTTTAATATTTCACATCTTGATATTTGAACTAAATTGGCCAAGCTGCATGTAAAGTTACCAATTCTTACCGATCATGTGTGGTTTGCAGAGGAAAGGAAGGAGATTGATCTAGGTCTTACATGAGGAAGTATGAATATAATGTGGCGAATTTAATGGTTTTTGAGGTTTATCTTATATGAGGAAGTATGTTCTTTTTAAGAGTTGCCCTTCCTTTTTTTTGTAGCTATCTCATCATCAGGTGGAACTGTCTCATATGTGGAGGTGTGTATATTA